ATTTTGGGTTTTCGTTGGGTCCACTTTCGCTTTAGATAACGATCTTCCTCGCGATCTTCGGACTGCGGTCTGGTGACTACCCTACGGTAATGAGGGCTATCCCTAAACCGGTCTGCAGATGTCAAGCGTTAATCTGACACAATCAAAAGACGATTCGACCTTACGAAGTCGCTGCATATATTTCGGAAGTAATGCAATGTTCTGTGTGGTTTTAGACAGGACAGTAGTTGTTTTTCTCCCGGTCATCTACCATTGTTGCTCATTTTATTGAATATTTGTGGAAATGAGATGTATGTGTACACAGGATGTCCCGAAACTACATAGAAACATTTCAACCACAGATTCTAGGAACAAAAATATTAAAGAAAGTTCACATAAACATGAGCCCTGAAAAATATGGTAGGTACCCTATTAAGAAAAAGTACTTTTTTTATTATGCAGCAGACTATTAATAGTAATTTACGTAACAAGTCCGGAAAATACTGTTTTTTTGGACGAATAGACAAAATCCTAGACCGAGCCGTAGGCTGTTTTTGGACGTTTTGGGTACACCATTTTTTCGGCAACCATATAGAATAACAAATCAATGAGCGACATTTCCATATTATATATCTTTGTAGAATAAAATTTCGTACATTTTAATTCTTATTTGTAGCAAATACTGAAATTTGACCAGAATACCTATACCTACTGAAAGCTAAGGTCCTTACTCTACTCTTTTTATAGTTTATTGCGAAAATTGCAACCAAACTTTCAAAAATCAAAATGTCAACTAATTTCATGTCAAATAGCTGTCAGTCATTGTTTCGCTGCTATGATAATGATCATCTGCATTTATCAAAACCATATCTACCAAGATTTTCATAGTTACAGTTACTACAACTATGTGATGCTTCACGGCCTTGTCTGCGAAGTACATACTTCCCGGACTAGGCCGGAAAAATGCTACTTTATCAAAGAGAAAACGTCCGGGAAGTGAGCACTTCCCGGACGGTTGCCGAAAAAATCGATTTTTCTCGAAAATTGTGCTATCTAAACTAAACAAGAGTATCATTTTTATGTAAAAATTAAATTATGATATTTTTTTTATTTCCTGGCAAACTGCCGAAAATTGCATAGAAAAGAAAATTGGTGGAAAAAATGCTCCTAGCCCCACCTATTTCCTATGTCCCTCATAAAAATTTCGGAAAATTCTCAACATTTCCAAATCGGGCAAGGGTTTTGGATATACAGGGTGTCAATTTGAAAACTTCCCACCCTCAATATCTCCCTCCAAGTCGATAATATGGAAAAACGAAAAGACAGGTCGATTTTATTTTCGAGGGGGACACTTCGAATGAATCATTTTGACCCTCATGGTTCAACCCCCTAGGAGGGGTAGATGTTACCCTCAGAATATGAATAGGGAAGAGGGGTCAAGTGGCACATCATTTTGAAGGGCGTTCAATTCTCTTTCCAACGGTACCCTACTTTACTATTTTTTGACGAGCAATTTCTGAAAAATAGCGTTCTAAACCTACAGAAGTGATCTAAACTTGCCTGCACAAAGATGCATGATTTTCAGGTTAGTATTCGAACAGAGATTTTTGTATTGATTCTCCTTTCAGTAAAACTGGACAGGAAAACAGGTAACAACCTCACATCTTTTCAACAGGGGCAACATAATTAGCCATCAGCTCCAATAAATCAACATCAATTATCTAATAGTGACATTTCGATGATAGCTTATTTGCGTTTATCATTGGATTTTCAATTCTACAGATGGCCTTCCTTTTTTGTTCCTTTCTTGCCACTGCTGATTTAAAAAAACTCTGTTTTTTGAGCAAAAAATTGTTCAGCAAATTCAAACGATCTGGTAGTATTATTGATTGATGAGTTTTATTTGTTGAGCTAATCAGTAATACGTTTATTCAGAGTAGGTACCTATAATTGTGAAAATGGTTTACACTCTTTCAAATAGAACTGAAATGATTGTGATTTATGGAGAGGCTGGAAAGTGCGCACGAAGAGCGGCATTTCTTTTTAATGAAAGAAATCCAGATTGTAATGTTAGTCACCGGTATGTGCTTGATTTGGTGGAAAAGTTTTACGAAACTGGTTCGGTGAAAAATAAAAAAAGGAATAATCCTAGAGTACTGAATGAAGAAGCTCAAATTGAAGTTTTGGGAACATTTGCTGCAGAACCTACTAGCTCCTTACGTTCAGTGGCAGAACAGACGGGAATGTCACACGAGACTGTGAGAAAAGCACTGAAATTACATCAATTTCATCCATATAAGATGCAGATTCTTCAAGAGCTCCATGAGGATGATTATGATAGAAGAATAGAATTTTGTGAAACGATGTCAAATCGAGTCAATGCCATCCCTAATCTATTATTAAATATCTGTTTCAGCGATGAATGTTCATTTTTTCTGAATGGAAATGTGAATAGACAAAATTGTCGCTATTGGAGTGACGAAAACCCTCACATTTTTCGAGAAGGACATACACAACAACCACAAAAAATTAATGTTTGGGCTGGTATTCTTGGAAATGCCATTGTTGGTCCTTTATTCATTGAAGAAAATTTGACTGGAAATCTGTACCTAGATATGCTTGAAGATACTATCGATCCTCTTATAACTCACGAGCTAGAAAATCAAATTGATGCAGACGGTAATTTACTTCTGCAGGAGGATCTGTTACATTTCCAGCAGGACGGTGCCCCACCTCATTATTTTCTTCCTGTCCGACAGTGGTTAAATGACAGATTCCCGGATAGATGGATTGGCAGAAGGTGAGCAACTGAGTGGCCTCCGAGATCACCGGATTTGACTCCTTTAGATTTTTTCCTTTGGGGACATCTTAAATCCGTCATTTACAAAACACAACCGACGGATATTGATGAACTCAAAGGACGAATTACAGCAGCATGCCGCTCGATTCGTGGTGAAGTTTTCCAGAATGTTAGAGAGGAGTTCGAAAACAGACTTTATTACTGTTTAGAACAAAATGGACAACATTTCGAACAGTTTATAAGATAGTACGTGAATAGATGTTTGAAATTTCTATCTGGCACTCTGAAAGTTTTTTTTCAAAGTAATATAACCAACAAACAAAAAATCAAACGTGTGTAGACTAGATTTATTTCTATTGTAATGATGCCACCTAACCTTGTAATCATTTTTATCAATGGAAGATTCAAAACAATAATTTTCGTCCTGAAGACAATGTATCTGAGTTAAGGCAAGTTCTAATCACTGGTTATCAAAAAATAGTAAAGTAAGATATACCGTTGAAAAGAAAGATATTATGTTGCCCCTGTTGAAAAGATGTGAAGTTGTTACCTAATTTCCTGACTAGTTTTACTGAAAGGAGAATCAATTCAAAAATCTCTGTTCAAATACTAACCTGAAAATCATGCATCTTTGTGCAGGCAAGTTTAGATCACTTCTGTAGATTTAGAACGCTATTTTTCAGAAATTGCTGGTCAAAAAATAGTAAAGTAGGGTATCGTTGGAAAGAGAATTGAACGCCCTACAAAATGATGTGCCACTTGACCCCTCTTCCCTATTCATATTCTGAGGGTGACATCTACCCCTCCTAGGGGGTTGAACCATGATGGTCAAAAATATCAATTCAAAGTGTCCCCCTCGAGAATAAAATCGACCTGTCTTTTCGTTTTTCCATATTAACGACTTGGAGGGAGATATTAAGGGTGGGAAGTTTTCAAATTGACACCCTGTATTTACAAAAAACCATCATCTGGGGCCCTCTTTCAGATGGGTATATCCAGGGGGGCATTTCTGGGCTCATATTTATAAAAACTTTTTTACTATTTTTGTTCCAAGAAACTGTAGTTGAAATCTTCCTATATAATTTCGAATCAGGCTGTAAGTACAAATCAAGTTCTCAAACCCTTATTGAAAGATAAAATAATCATGGTAATGAAATAAGTGCCTGACAAATCTTGGAGAAATATTAATCATATGCTGCCTACGGCTCATGCTGCGAACTTAATTCTCCTGGGAAATAATTATCGTTCCGTGCAATATACTATTTTCTACTTCAATGTTTAACACCAAATGATCAGAAATGCTGATGGTATTTCCTCTATGGAATATCAAAGAAACTGATGATGGCTTGAACTAGGTCAAAACACATTCAGACCACCTTGTATAATACATAGTTGAATTGGGAATAGAAAAAATTTTCAGAATCTGTGAACACATAATCAGGACCATATTTGAAAAAAAAAAGTTGATGGTTCTATGAATACAAAATGTTGCATAGGGAAATCAATATAACCAAGTTGAATATCATCAGAAGTTGCTGTGGAAAAGTATTATGAGTTTTTCTATATCTCTAATATTAACGTAGAAAAAAAAACTTTTGAAAACTTTCCAATGCCGTTAATATGGCCCTTGGAATGGGCAACTTTTTTCTCATTTAACTGCTGTACAACCTTATCTTGGTCACACTGTATAGGGTGTCCCATAACATAACTTATATGCAAAAAGGTGATGCTAGAGATGATAATAAGAAGATTAAGTCAATATTTATGTTGGAAGTTTGAGTCATTGAAAAAAGAACGAGGTGTTGGATGTGCAACTTGTCAGGAGAGATATAAATCAATGACAGATGTGATAATGACATACCAAATATAGTTTTTTGGCATTCAGGACACACTTTATGAATTACATAATTTCCAGCCATCAATATTGACCTGGAACATGTTTTTGAGGGGAAATAATCACTTTTCTCTAGTTTGAAGTTGAGACATTCCCAGCTTCACAGGATATAAAAACATGTTAATCAAGAAATACAGCAAGCACTAGTTTTTACATAATTCAAATTTTCCTCCTGCAAAAATTAAACTACTTCAATTTTGAATACTACTTTTAAAATAACTGTAACTTTTTGAAAATTAAGATTAATTTAATTATCATTATTAGTATCACCTGTATGGCAAATAAGTAAAATTTTGTGAATTTAGAATTTGTGAAAATGTATCTTACTGCCATGTAAGGTTTGCATCCTGCATCAATGGTTTTGGCAACAGAATCGACTAGGTATCCACTTATCCCAAAATCACACATTTTAATTTCACCCTGTCTATTGATGAGAATATTGGAAGGTTTCACATCCCTGTGGATAACTTTGAGGTGTGAGTATAGGTAATGTAAGGCACTAACTACAGCATAGGCAATTTTTCCTGAAACAAAATATATTATTGATCTTCAACATTAACCCAAAATATTTCACAAACTGAACACAAAATAGTTTTTTTGTCACTATTACACATGATATCAATAAATGGCCATTGACGGAATATATAAATGATTATTCTTGTTTGCCTGGTGGGTGATGCCACACTCACTAATACTTTGACATCATTGGAACACCATAGAAAGATCGGCGACCTTTCACTTTTTTATAGATACCACCTCAGGAAATGTTCTTCAGAAAACTGCTATCATTCCATGACTAGCAATACCAGTCAGACGAACTCGACAAGCACAGTCAGCACATCCTTTTGTTGTCAACCTTGAAATATGTGGAACAGCACTATATCAGAACTCGTTTCTCTATAGAACGGCAACGCTCTGGAATACATTGCCTGAGGAAGTATTTCTAAGAACTTATAATCTCCAGAAGTTTAATATAATTCCAACTCCAACCGTTTTTCGAACGTTATAGGAATATATATTCACCTATGGTGGTCGCTGCGGCGATATGAATAAATTCTATTCTATTCCTTTATGTGGGCAATTGCCATATGTGTATATTATACACTATAATACATAAATAACATCATGATTATAAGTTGCCTCTGAAGCAATCCTTGTATTTGATGCTTTTTAATTTTGAAAGATCAGCTACTAATTTGCAGTAGCCAAGGAAAACATTTTAACTCCTGGCCTAGATTGAAAGTTAGACATGGTGTCCAGCAATGTCATCTAGTGACCTTGGTGACCGTAAATTAGGCAATCCAATGACCTGTCAAACTAAGCCCTAGGAATTCCATATTCATGGAAATGGATGAAATTTTGAACACTTTCAATGATTTGATGGTTTCAGTAAAATTTATCTCAATCTTCTACTTATTATTTGTTCAATCAATGACTCTAACACAAGAATAATGTTACTGATATTGAATTTGAATAGGTAATTGATATCAATAATAGTAGATATGGACATTTTGCTACATAATTTCTTTTGGGGGAGTCATTTTTTCATTTATTTTTATATGTATAAAGTATACAATAATTATTAATCAAACTTTTTTAGTAACTACATAGATGTAATTCATGATTTGTATTTATTATATTAGGGGTTACCCATACAATAAATTAATGGCTAATACTCATTTAATACCAGCATCAGCTATTACTCCATTATTTTTAAATCAAAATACTCCTGAAGCAGTACACAGTATTGAGTTTTATCAAGAATACCATTTTGGTGTTGAATTGAATGATGTTCAAGATCACATGAAAACTGGACTCAAAAATCTAACCTGCAAAAAGTAATGTTTAAAATTACTTGGTATGAACCATGTAACTAGAGCCCTCTATGAGAGTCAGATATGAAAATGAATTCATATGATGTGTCAGCTTCCAGAACATATCCATACAAAATTGCATCACAATGTTGTCAGTAGTTTCAACATAATCCTTAATAAATTATGAAACAATATTTTTTTCAACACCTTGTATCTTGAAAACAGATGCCATTTAGACATTTTTTCACTGACCAAACCCAACTTATTTTGCAGTATTGTACCCTTGGTTCTACCTACCCTAGCAAGGGGGTCACCTATTTATGAAACACCCTGTATATTCTTCAGTATTATAAAAAGTTTTTTGTTAGGAACTCTTTAATGAAAGTCTTACATGGACTCATAGTCATAGTAACTAAATGTTCAGTAAAACTGCATTTATCATGGGATGGTTTTTTTTTTCCAAAATTTTTTTTGGTACTTGAGTATTTTTGTCTGAAAAACACAAATTTGATAATGAAAATGTTAACAAAATGCTATTTATCAAGATATTTCCAGAAGAAGTTCGAAATTTTGCCTTCTTTCTCTACTTGTGTAGGATGCATTTAAAGCTACTTGCTCTTCTTATTTTGTCATTGAACACTTTATATACTCATGATGTACTTCAATGACACATTTTTATATAGAAAATTCAACAGAAAATATGATTTTTATGGTGAGTTTTTCATATTTAGTGAACAAGCATTACATGCCATTATTTTAATTGATATTCTTCCTTCTTTTCAAAATATGGATTAATCTCAAGAAAATCATATTTCTAGTTGACTCATATATTAGAAAAAAATGTGTTGTACATTGTGATATATATAAATTGTTCAATGATGAAAAAAGAAGGACTAATTGTTCTAAATGCCACCCAGAAGACAGGTGGAAAAGAAGGTGAAATTTGTAACTTTATAGTCAAATATCTTGATAAATAATGGTTTGTTCACATTTTCATTATCAAATTCGAGTTTTTTAGACCAAATTACATAAGTGCCTAAACAAATTGGTAATTTTGCACTTATCATGTGATGGGTTTTTTTTCGAAAAATTTTTTTGGTACTTACATATTTTTGTCTGAAAAACACAAATTTGATAATAAAAATGTGAACAAATCACTATTTATCCAGATATTTCAAGAAAAAGTTCGAAATTTTGCTTTATTTTCCCCCTTGTGTTGGATGAATTTACAGGTACTTGCTCTCTTTATTTTGTCATTGGACACTTTATACAGGGTGTTTCATAATTGAATGTCAATATTTGGGGACGCAATTCTTGGGCCCATTCTAAGAAGAAAGTTTCATATGAACGTATGACCTAAACATCCTAACTTTTGAGATACAGGGTGGTGAAGTTCTCAAAAATGAATAGTTTTTTATTAATATCTGTAATACCACTTCAGATATTCTGATGAAATTTGGCATACATGTACTATGTATCAAGAGGCATGCATGAGTTAGAGTACCACATTTTTTGTTGTTGCCACCAGTGGCGTTCGTATGAAATTTCACATACCTGTTTTGGCAGAAATTGATGATACGCCACTGATTAATCTCCAAATTGAAATCATTCCTGAAATTCCCGATCATTTCTAAGCAAATTTGATCACTACAATTTTTTCAATCTGATGCACGGTTTTCGCTTAACAATAAAAAGCTTTTCACTACATGATTATAGTAATATTGTTAATATGATAATATCACAATGCAGAGAAATAGTTTTTATTTTTAAGATCAAATTTCAGAAATACAATTCATAGTTCATGAACTTTGTATTCGTATTTGGTATTTTCGAATTATAACTTCTCATTGTAGTAGGCTATATTAATTTTCGAGAATTTTACCACCCTGTATCTCCAAAGTTGGGACGTTTAGGTCATACGTTCATATGAAACTTTCTTCTTAGAATGAGCCCAAGAATCGCCTCCTCGAATATTGACATTCAATTATGAAACACCCTGTATACTCATGATGTACTTCAATGACACATTTTAAGATAAAAAATTCAACAGGAAATATGATTTTTATTGTGAGTTTTTTTTATTTAGTGAGCAAGCATACCAGATGACCGCCATTTAATCCATATGCAATCCAAATACTAGATGTCAAATGTCAATAGATTGCATTGGAATGACATTACACACACCATTATTTCAAATGATATTCTACCTTCTTTTCACTAAACATGGATAATTTCACAAGAAAATCATATGTGTCCAACATTGTGTGATATATATAAATTGTCCAATGATGGAAAAAGAAGGGCAAATTGTTCTAAATGCAGTCCAAAGACAGGCGGAAAAGAAGGTGAAATTTGTAACTTTATAGTGAAATATCTTGATAAATAATGGTTTGTTCACATTTTCATCATCAAATTCGTGATAGATAGATAGACAAAAATACATAAGTACCAAAAAAAAATTTTGGACAAAAACCCATCTCATAAAATTACCAAAAAATTTTGGAAAAAAAACTATCCCTTGATAAATGCAGTTTTACCAAATGTCCTCATATTTTCTGCCACATGGAATGGATTGCAAAACAAAACTTTCAATTTGCATTATGTTTGTAATGTAACCAACCATTTCAATCAAACACAACCCTTGCCTTTTTTCTGTGGCATGTCTATCATTAGGTAACTCCCTTAGAAATAGGACCTATCTATATGCTCTACCAACTAACTAACTTACCTAACACATCCTCTGGTATCCTTCTATCATGTCTAAATGCCTTGACATAAAATTTGTCTAAGCTAGTATCCATAACTTCCATACAGATCCACACATCCCCCTCCCTAAAAAGTGCTCCATAAAACTGAACTGTGTAAGGACAATCACTGCTTCTCATGGATATATCAAGGTCCATCAACAGCCTTTTTTGTTCTTGAGTGTTGACAGTAGCAGTTATTCTTTTAACAGCCATAATTGTACCACTGGGAATATGGCGCATCTTCTCCACCACACCATAAGCACCCCTACCCAAGTCATCAATCTTGCAGAGATCATCTGCTTCCACATCAAATGTTTTTTCTCCAATTGTGATTGTTGTTCGGGTGTCTAAATTTGCTGGAGGCAACCTGTGTTTGAAACATAAATGTTCATTAACTAGAAATCAGAGATCATATCAATTTGAAATGAATCTAACTTACACTGGAGGAACATCATCTGATACTTGGAGTTTTAGTGCTGGTTTCTTCCTTCTCCCTGACATAATTTTTCAGAAAACCAAAATCACAGTTGAAAGTAGGAAAGTGAATTAAAGTAGCCTGAATTTTTCAACAGGAGTGCTATTTAGATTTTGAAATGATATCAAGAATCTGTCCTGTGCTGCAAATGAGAAAATGTCAAGATTATAGTTCTTTTTCCCTATATCAATGTACTGGTGAAAATGGTAATATAATGAACTGACCATAATGTGAACGTCTTTCAACTCTTTTATACAAATCCTTCTAGCTTCTTAAAACCAACAAATGTAAAATATAAATCAAGTTGAGATTTGAGAATCTTGAGTCAGTCTCGGAATTAATCGCCAATTTTCGATTTTACCTCATTGATGAATCAAGTTGAGACTTGAGAATCTTGAGAGAGAATTCAATCTCGGAATTAATCGCCAATTTTCGATTTTACCTCATTGATAAACTTTCGAAATTTCTAAAAAGAAAAGACTAATAAAGTGGAGACACAGAATGTCGAATTTGAATTGTCATTTGTCATCAGCATAACGAGCCGACGAGAGGAGAATGTCAGTTATGTCAGTATATGACCATCTGCGTCTGACGTCACAACGTTGAAGGTGGAACGCTTGGAGGGTAAACAAACCGTGTGGAGATACTCTGTTCATGAGTTTATAATTATTTTTACTTTAATTTCACTGCTTTGTTACTGAAGAATAAGTTGTTATTAGTGTTTGTTATTCGTATTGTGATAGTCGTGTTGAACTTCTACTGCAGATATAATTTATACATATTGAATTCAATGTATTTATCTGTGATTCAAATCTTCTAATTTTGAGGGCCTATCATTTACATCCACAGATTCTAACCGAATAATATGCCGAATTTTTATATGGTAGTGAATTGTGGCAGAACTGGAATGAGAGAAAGTGTCAGATTTTTTTGGATTCTCTCAGTTCTAGACAATAACAGAAGAGAAAACAGCTTAGCCAATTGAGTGGAGCGCACTACACCTTCTTGTAGAATCTTTTATTGTTTGTTAAAATTGTACAATCTCTTGTTGGTTCAAGCTAGCATCCACTTTATGTGCTTCCAATTGTTATTTGCTTGAACCTGGAAGGGACCCTACAACCTGGTTTTGTGAAATCAATGTCAAAAACTTTGCTGGGCGCAGAAGGTTTATTCCGTGGTTTATTACTTCGAGCTACCCAAGCTTCCACATCTGTTACAGATTTTGATTCCACAAATGATGTTGAACGAACCGAATTATCAATGGAGAATAAAATATAGCTGAAACATGTGTGCAAATTTCTCCTAAACCAGCAACACAGTCACAATGTGCATTTTTCACAGTACCACTACTTTCACATATATTCCAAGGATTAAGGCATTTTTGATTCAGTTCCTGTGAATGCAGAACCTACAAAATACTAATCAAACAGTTAATATGAATAATGAATAATTGTTTGCTAACTTCAACTTTCCCAAAACCAAAAGATATGTTCACCAACACGTTTGGAGCGGAGGTATCTCACCCAACCTCATGTTGCAGCTTTGTAAGAATCTAAACCCTTATAATATGCTTTCAGTTGCTCCATACTGAATGCACTTCTTGCAAATACTATATAATTTACAATATCTGGATATAAAACTGGTGGCAAATCATCAAGTTCCGTGGAATAATTGTTTATGCAATATGGATCCTCTAGGGTCCCTTGATGGAAATTGACGTTAAAGTCATCTTAACAGGGTACGGACAGATCCTCGTCTCCTCTCACTCTAAAAAGTGTTTGTGAAACAGTTATATAGTTCCATCCTTATTCAATTCTGGGGATAAACCATTAGATTTTTTACATTCGTTGTTTTTTAGGTTATATTGAGGTCACTGGCGTATCATACGTAATTTCCATATGGAATTCCTGATTCAACTATACCAAGATATAGATGAACAATCCTCTAGTTTTAGAGTTTACTACTCCAGCATAATCTTTGCGATTTAGGGAACATATAAATTGTACTGAAAGCTCAATATATTTCACCAAAAGAGACTGTTCTTAGACTGTATACCAGGGTCGACTGAATCGACTGAATAAATACTGATTTCAAGCTGAGCAGTAGTTTATCTATGAGCGGAATGAGCTGAGCCCTATGATTGAGAAATGGTGGAAACCTCGATGTGGGTATCTGAACTACTGTACTCATGTCATGTGTGCTGAATATATTTTCAGAAATCCAACTCGGAGAAGGATAATTTATGGAGTTACTAATATATATACAGAGTGGGCCTTTGAAAACGAAACAGAGGCTCTGTAGGTCGCCAAAATCGGATTATCAAAAAAAACTGAAACAGGTCAACTACATTTTCGAGGGGGACATCTTTCTAAAATATTTTCAGCCCTGCGGCGTTGCCGCTTCTAACGAAAAGAAGCAACAACTTTGTTATTTCAAATGGAACACCTTGTATTTTATTGCATTTTTAGGTTCTCTCCGAAGAGCTGATTTCATCAATGCATCACACTTGGGGTCTAGCTGTAATGGTTTCAGGGATATAAAGTGTTCAAAATCGAGATTTTTCAACTTTAACATTTTTTTGTGTCGAAACTATTCATTATTGGTCAAAACGGCTCTCATGTCGCTATCTCAACTTGTGATTTACTATCTACTGACATTTATTTGAAACAAATACAGGGTGGTTCAAGATTCAAAATTCTGATCACCCTGTATCTGTTCCAATTGAATGTTAGTAGATAGTGAATCACAAGTTGAGATAGGGACATGGGAGTTGTTTTGACCAATGATGAATAGTTTCGACACAAAAAAATGTTAAAGTTGAAAAATCTCGATTTTGAACACTTCATATCCCTGAAACCATTACAGCTAGACCCCAAGTGTGATGCATTGATGGAATCAGCTCTTCGGGGAGAATCTAAAAATGCATTAAAATACAAGGTGTTCCATTTGAAATAACAAAGTTGTTGCTTCTTTTCGTTAGCAGCGGCAACGCCGCAGGGCTGAAAATATTGTAGTACGATGTCCCCCTCGAAAATGTAGTTGACGTGTTTCAGATTTTTTTCATAATCCGGTTTTGGCGACCTACAGAGCCTCTGTTTCGTTTTCAAAGGCCCACTCTGTATATATAATATGTATAAAACTCCGTCTAGAACGAGAAGTAGGCTGATAAAAATTAATACGTAAAATGTGCAGGAAAATAAAGAATAGAATATACTTTAGCCCCATGTTATACTTATGATTTTTCCGTCTCTTTTAAATAAAGAGTCATTTTCGAATAATTTATTGATGAAAGTAACAAAGAAGTAGGTATACGCTAAGTATACGCAGTATAACTTATAGACACGATATTTTCACTCTTGCATCCTACATATTTTCTATTTGTGGTAGAGTAATAATTATATAAACTAATGTCTTTCGCCATATTGCATCCGTCATCTTGAATGTTTCAATTTTTGGCGAAAAAATCATTTTCTCCTACCCCGAAAACCCCCAGATACCAATTTTGAATAGAATCGGATCTTCATTACAAAACTTATTCACGCATATTGGATCCGCCATCTTGAATATCCCAATTTTGACGAAATAATTATAATCTCCGACCCCGGAAATCCCCAGATACCAATTTCGATTTTTTGAATAGAATCGGACCATAATTACAAGTTTCGTTCGCCATACTGGATCCGCTATCTTGAATTTACCAATTTTGACAAAAAATCATAAAGTTCGACCCCAATAACCCTCATAGAATCAGATCATAATTAAAAATTCCTTTTGCTATATATTGGATCCGTCATCTTGAATTTTCCAAGTTTGACGAAACAATCATTATCCCCTGGAAAACCCCACATACCTTTCAATTTTGAATAGAATCGGATCATAATTACAAAACTTGTTCGCCATATGATCTTCCTCAACAAGTAAATACCCTGTACATACCTATTGTCGTCGACTGGGCAGTCGAATGGTTCGAAAATATCACGCTGTATATAGGAAAACGGGGACTGACAGAAAAAAGTCATTCGACATCCATCACCTCACGGGTTTGGTGTGTGGCACAATTCATCTTTTCCTTCATTTAAAATGCAAGAATCTACCCAAACACAGGAAAAGACCAGATCCTCCAGAGGCACGCGAGTGCGGGCGCTGTGGCCACATTTGCCGTCGTCCTCTCCGGAAACATTCCTGGGTTTCACGAAAGAACAACCCATTTCTGGAAGAAATGAAGCAAAGGGAGTCGATGTTTCCCTAAGACATGGCGCCCAACGTGTTGGAAGCTATATTGATTGTCAGTCTAGTGAGATTGACTCGAACCCGCAAGTATCACAAGTCATGGACCCTGAGAAATCTCATGAAACTATTTGTGAAGAACCGCTAAACGAGTTTCGTAGTTCTCCCATAAAAACTACGTGGCGCCCAGAAGAAACAATGTTACGATTAGCACAACTAACCGAGAAAATGTGGGACAAACTGTCCAATGAAAGAAAAATATGTAATGTAAATATGTTCGGAGGTAGAGAGTGGGAAGACCCGAACATGTTTTTGAAGGAGGTTACCGCTTATTTGATGGACAATGGCATTCCAAAATCTAGATGGACTTCAACAGCAAAACAATATCTAGAAGGAAAAGCTCAAGAATGGTTCAAGCAATACGAAAATGAACATCTAGATTTCGATGCATTCAATAATCTCCTGAGAGGAAAGTTTGACAATGAATCCCTGTTAAGTCAACTGCACTCTCAACTGTATTCTTCTAGACAGCAAGGAGAATCTGCTAGTGTTTTTCTGACTAGGAAAAGAGGTTTATTCAAACGTCTCGAGCCTCATTTGTCTGAATATCAGATAATAAACAGATCGCGTGAATTGTTAGCACCTAAAATCAGGATCAATTTACGTGGACGTTGTTTCCCTGATATGGAATCCTTCATTCAAGCTGCTAGTGTTATAGAAACAGATCTGAATGATATTGAATACACTTATAGACATCCACATATGTCACATCGAGAAAAGTATGCTGAGCCATCTTCCCCTTGTAGAATTTGTGGAGCATGGCATTACCATAAGGATTGTCCTCATCGTGAAGAAAATGTAATTCATTCGGAAAACTCCAGAAGGGACGATGCTGGCCAGGGAGCTCGTCCCCAGAACTGAAAAGTTTGCAAACAGTTTGTGAATTCGGCCCACCTCGAGTTGAAATTCAAGTGAATGGTCATAAATTATTAGCTCTTCTTGACACAGGTGCAACGCATTCTTTCATTCAACATAAGTTCACACAAA